TGGAGATGTATGAGAGAGAGGGAGAGGAGAGAAACAGAGAGGCAGAGGTCTGTTACTCAGCTAGTAAAGGTTAATTACGAGCCAGCTGCTTATCCGGCGCCAGTGGTAGAAAGCTTTTCCTTCGCGTATCGTGCATCTGAAAACCCTCTATGACACGAGCAATGCGCCCGTATACGTTTTACGGGCAGCCGCAGTGCTGGGAACAAACAAAGCAATAAGAGAAGATCACGAGTTCTACTTCGATTCGCAGCCACAGCTGCGACAAACCTGACAATGCACGTTCAGCGCCTGAACGACTGTATTTAACTGTTGCGAGGTTCTCGGGTGCTCATGCTGTTTTTCATCCAAGTGAGCGAGCTTATAGATATGACGCGAAATTGTAGGAATCGCGGGAAACCACGGCGGTCGGTTTTCGCTTAAACTTAACCAAATGTGTTGAAGTGGTTTTTTTACTGCTTAGTAGTTAACCGATTACTTTTTGGGAGCAGTGTTTTTCAACGCCTTCTAGACAGCTTTCTGTAATAGACCGTTATTATGGGTGATGTCGAAATTCTAACCAAACATGGACACCGAGAAAAGACAAAACGAGTAACGATAACACATTAAGCAAACAAAAACGAAAAAAATATTGCATGAAAATAGGTGAACAAACCAAGCCACAATAAGTATGAGCGGCAGGAAATGTATGGATACCCAATTGCCATGATCTTCAGTACTAACTTCATGTTTAATCAGCTATTTTATTAGAGAAGAACTATAGCGGGGATCACATGAATATTATGGAAGGTACGATAGTGGACTCGAGGTCACACTGACTATACCACCGGCCTTGCCGTGCGGATGCTCGGAAGGGTGAACACGACCGCGCCAACTTGTGGTACTTTTCTCTTTATCATAACGCTCCTGCAACGATACTGGACAGCCAAATGAACCCGCAATGTTGCAGTAGGGGGGACAGTCGAGGTCACTTGATCTTTCCATTGTTTTTACCAGGAAACACCTTTATCCGACTCTTGACAACTGTGCCTCGTAGAGTACACAAATGCGTGCATCGCTGAAACTTGAGCGAGATACGGTGCTTAAGGGGGTGATGCCTTGTACGTATAGAACACAGTCTTCCTTTCTCTGCAGTATGAACACTAAGCTTGTTTCAAGTGTCCTTTCAGATTATCTTTCTCTCTAGAAAGAAATAGAAAGAACGATGACTGGAAGCTATGTAACATAGCTTTGAAGGGCAGTTGTTAACGCCAGTAAAATAAGTGTAGAGGACAGCAAACTATACAGTCAGGGCAATTCGCTGCACACTCTCTGCATTTGTACAATGTTAGGAAAGCCGGGAAGAAATTAACATAGAAGTACCTAATTGAAACTATGCAGCTACGTTTCGGCAAGTGCAATTCTATATATTGGTCAAGGAAGCAAATGCATTGACGCTGCTGCGTGCCTTGAGGGGAACATGCCCACTTGTCGAAACGTTAGACCAAGTGGCATCCTCTGCGCAACGATTTATTGTATAGATGCAATCAGTTACGTTTCAGTAGTTCCTCAGTTCATAGGGACCGGATGTAAGTGGTCATTGTAATCAAAAGCATTCTTGGTGTACTTAATTGCTTTAGCGAATAGAATCGAGGAATAGTGGTTATAATTGATTCATTGGGTATACATAATCGAATCGCTGTCGACATACAGGTAACGACAATGTTCTGGTTAGCAAATGCGTGACTACATGATACTGTGGCTTTCTGTCTCCCGCGTTGTTGCACATCGGACGTGATGTTTAGGCAGCTATAGAGGCACCTCTCCACACTGCAACGAACGTGCTATTGCGGTAGTTGTGGGGCTCACTTACTGCGGGAGCCGGTGAGAAAGCTCTACAGCTCAGCCCACGCAGCAACAGAGCAGTTGAACTACGCTGAAACGCTGGAGCGCTGCTTTTTAACACTCACTGTATCTCTTTTGCGTATGCATACACACGTCTAATAAAACGTCAAGCCCTTGTTACCTCTATAGAGACTATAGTGCATTAGCTCCGAGATGAGGCCACGTTATCAGCGGTCCTCTGCGAAGGATGGACAGATGTTTCGGTGCGCTTGCCATAAAAAGCCGAGGCGTTATAGTAGCGATTACGTGCAAGCAATCTCGGTAGACCGGACTGACAACCCCACCAGCTCATCAAAGCGCATTGCAAGTTCTGGATACCTCGGAGTCAGTGACATTATGGGTTGGAGCCTACTTCGCATAAGACAGTCGATCCATGCTCTGTGACAGTTCGCAGTTCATTACCTTCAGGGCATGTGCTGTGCACGCCGCTATGCGTGTAAGCATATTACTTGTCCTCTCTTCTCTTCTTCCCCCGTGTAGGGTCGCAAACCAGGTGCAACCTGGTCAACCTCCCTGCCTTTCCTTTTCACCCCCCCCCCTCTCTCAATTTTGAGCCAGCGTTGCTAGAATGCGAGGGCGTGTAGAAGAGTGCTTACATGAAAGGTGGGATGGGGAAGTT